CATCCTTAGGTATCACCTGCCTCAATGGCACATTTTGTCTTGTGTATTCAGCAATGCACTTAAGAAAGTGGCATAAGGACTTTTAAAGGATAACACCACCAGGAATATCAGAAGCAAAGTACTAACCACATACAATAGGTATGCGCCTACTACACTTCCTCACTGCCATGGAAGGTTCCATGTCCAGTTATACTGGTTTCGCCCCCAGGGGTAGTAAAGAGAAGAGTGTGGCTCTTATACAATATTAGATAAAAACTAAGACAGACTCAAAAGTAAGAGGAAATCAAGTAATTACACAAATTGGCATATAGTGAATTAAAATCAGACAAGACCTGAGTTTTAACGCGGCTATCTTGATTTAGAGACCCATTCATTTATGTTGCTGAGAATTAAGGGGCTTTAGGTCTTATTTAACATAAGACACCATATAACATATACTTAGACTTCAGTCTATATTATGCTGCCTTGGATTCTAAGTTCCATATCACTTTACATCCTATGCTGATGAGTTACCAAAGTCCCCTGCAGTTTCCAAGATAACCATTACTAAGTCTTGCATAGCCTAGTAAGAAACAAATTTGTCATACTGTATATATCTGAGATGTATACAAACAGGAGCTTTCAAGTTCACTAATCCCTGGTCAGTTACTGTTCTGTGTACATGTAAATTGTCCCACTTATATCTAGAGCAACCTGGCTTGCATATCTTAAAGAATACTCCTTTGCATAGGTCAAAGTCAGATGCCATATAGAATAGTTATGTCTGTTTCAGCGCAGAATGTCTTGTATATATAATAACATATCTATATAGCCTTTCATTTCGCAAAACTATGCTATTTCCATAGCACGTTAATGGACTTCTTCCTATAGGCCTTTTCTTGAAAAAATAGATAATAGCACAGTTTCCACCTAGATCACCATCTTATAGCTGTCTCTAAACCCACTATCTAAGTGTTTATGGAGTGATTCACAAAGATCTTCTGCTTAGCTTAACTAATTCCCCTGGATAAGCACATCCACAAGTGTTAAAAGAGTCCACCAAAAAAGTCAATCTCTCCTTAAACAAAGGTCCTCGATACATCCTAAGACAGTTCGAAAGATATTATCACGCTAATCAAGATGATATTAGCTTAAATAAAGAAGTGCTCCAAGGATCACAGTGCCATCATCTAGAGGACTAATCAAGCTGAGGACTTCTTCAGCTGCAATGTAATTTCCTTCCCTGATATAATTATACACCTGCCTTCTCCAGACTCACCTATTAATGGAGAGGGGTTCTTAATCATTGCTAATGGTCGCATATAGATCCATATCATCTTCATCTGGGACTGGAAGTGTCTGAAATGGCATTATAAAACATGTAGTAGGAGATGGTTACTATAGCTATACTAAAGCTTATAGTAGTCTGACTGCAGTGTTCTTTCCTTAAGATGAATAGGACTTTATTCTTACTACTTATATCTTCAAACTTATGAGAAAAGATTACAGATACAGCTTGCAACTTGATTCTATACATTGCTTGTGCCCCTAAGGTTTCCTCTAAGAAAGTAGTTTAATCATTTACTATTTATCAATTCAAAGCTCATTTCTAAGATATTGCCACTCTTGTTTCCCCAGAAGACCCTTTACAGATCTGACTTATATTCCAACTTTCAAGGGCATATAGTATGCTGTCTTCAACCCATTCATAAATTGCGCTTTAAATATAATATACAGTTCATGGTTAGGACAAGATAGAATACTGTAAAATACCTCTAAATAATCAACACCATCGCGAGAAAGAGCACTAGATACTTTCTGATAGGCACTTTTCTAAACTAAAGGCGAACTAGCTTAATATTAATAGGTATTCCTCCGAAAGCATCAGCAGGCTAATACTAACCTTGTGCCCTTGGTATCTTCCCATCATAAGGGTTGATTTGCTAAATACCCAGTACAACAGTATACAGGCCTTAGAGGCGTAGGTGGCTTGATTTTGATGGAGTGTTGGATGTTCAAGGAGCTCACTCATTCTTCATATAAGTTGCGTGCCGGCACCGTCCTGGGCAGCAGTAAATTAAGCAGTGGGATATTGAAGCAAATCATGCTAAATGAAAGGGACGCAATATAGATTATGATCCAAGCAACTAGAGAATCCTTATATTACATTTTCTAATTCTTTTTCCATATTTGTTCTCAAAACCGTGGCGGTATCTCTGCCATGTCTCTATCTTGGGAACTTGAGACAATGTTCTGAGATCCGATACCTTTGATCTTGGAGCCAGCTGAGTCTGCCGCCGTAGAGCACTGGAAAGGTGGGCTTTGCCTGAGAGGACAGTTTGTTATGCGGCAACAGTAACATCCCTGCATCTTGGTAGAATTCGACCAAGATGCAGGGATGTTACATACTACTAAGATACGCTACTGTAGAGTGGGCTTTATCTGAGAGGACAGTGCGCAACATCCCTGCATCTTGGTAGAATTCTACCAAGATGCAGGGATGTTGCGGCACATTGCGTCCACTGTTGGTTTGAGAATCCATTTGACTTTTTTACCTTCGCTATGATATTCTTCCCATCCACCTTAGATGAATACAAGGTTATCTCCTAGATCGCATTTAAGACTTCCTAGGTTCCGCTGGTAAAAAACGGATACTGAAACCTAAAAATGCAACGTGCGTTATCAGCCAATGACTAAGCCGCACCGTAGTAACTAACTAACTAGTTATGGGTCGCGACCGTCTGTTAGAAGAAGTAGAAGGACTTTTAAAATCACGTGGGTCGATGATGGAGTGACGACCACGGATCACCCCAACAATGGACGACTGCTCTCAGGCATGACTTCAGCACGTGATATATTCCATATCTTTTGGGCTATTATCCCTTAATAACTGCTGGAGTCCGCTGAGAGACGAGAATTTGATGGTGGCATGGAAGGCCCATATTGATACCAATTTCTTGCGCTTTTCAAATCTACGCTTTGTGTCTCGTTGGCTCACTTTGTTTTTGGGTTGACCTTAATCTCTGCCTTCCGTGGTTATGTGGCCGTTCGCGCTGGCTCTCATCGAATTACATTATGAGTGCACGAATTGACGACTGGGCTAGTATTTTCTTCTCTGGCTGCTATCCTTCCTTCAACGTTAACGAGGCAGCTTCAAGCCAACTTGAATTCGAACATTTCCCGCATGAAGATCGGTTTTGGAAGCTAGGGGACAGAGTGCACCAAACTGAACCACCGCGAGGTCCCATCCTAGTCCTTTGGTTGTACGTCAGGAAGCGAGGTAACAAAGCAACATACGTGGCTAAGACCGTAAGTATGCGGCTCCTAAAGATACCAATATAGGTACTTACGCAGAAAAAGTACCCAGATTACACGAAAGATGAGGCAAGAGATCAGCTCAAGCGCATTCCCTCTATTCAACACTCTGCGGAAGACGTCCAAAGAGATCTTGATCCGTTCCTTAATGAGGCAAAAGCTTACAAGCACATGGACCGGTTTTGCCCTGGGGCGCGCAGAATATACTTTCCTCGCTTTCACGGTGTGATCACTGATATCGATCCCTCTAAATTTCCTTACAAATACCGATTCAGACGTCGAGCGATAGTACTTGAAGCAATCAAGCCAGACATAAGTTGTCGACGCATACTTGCAGCAGCAGATCATACGCTACTTGACCTCGCCATCAACTTTTCTGATAGGCTCACCAAACTACCCCTGAGCTCCTTCGAGCGGGAATGGTACAAGTCTTTATTCGGCGACCGACTTCGGCGTGTACATGCTTTGTATGACATCGGGATCACCCATGGCGATATCCGAGACGATCATTTCCGACTTCCTGGAGACTTTTATGACACAGTTCTTTATGACTTTTCTATCTCATACACCTTCTCCGCGAAAAGACCATATTGTATCAATACCAGAAGGCCTTTACCGTTGTCGGAAATCAAGAGGCATGAACAACGACGCGTTGAAAATCAAGTATACAGACGGTAATCGAAATACGTGATTTGTGCGGTACGCTAGAAAGCTAACTCGTCAAATAGAGCTGAACAGCTGGATTTACGCGCTTATCTTGCTGAGAAACTACAGCTAAGCCTTGATGATGTAAGGGATTCGTTCACCTGCACTATTGACGAGGACCTGGATCTAATCATTCTGAAACCGGCATATCGCCCCGACGGTATGTTTTGTTATTTTCAATGTAAGTCGAACATGGTGAATGACTCTATTTAGGATTTACTATGCCGTCATTAGCATCTGTATTTCCCTTTCTGGAAGCAGTGCGACCTGGAGACCACCTCACTTGGCACATTCATAGAGCGCGACAGCTACAATACTATGAATGTGCATGGATTTTACACGGCAGTCTAAGGGAAAACGATCACTTCGACGTAATTCGCCAATCATTATCGATTGTCTCGTTGTGCGGCATCACATTGATTGATGTGGATAATCTTTCGATCGGTCAAGAATGCTCCTTTATTCTAGTTTTGCTTCCGCGATCCTGGGTGGTGGAAGGAGTCAGTAACCGTATCTTGACAGCTTGCACCCATCTCATCCAATCAGGGACACAAAGTGGTATCATTAGGAGGGCCGAGATTGATATGTACTGAGAGTTGATATAATGAAAACGTGTTCACAATCGATCTTCTATCTCCAAATCCGCAAGCACTTTCATTAAGTACAAACCTTGAAGAGGTCTAATTGTACAAAGTAAGCTGTACCGCATTGTTGAGCGAGTGACAGACGCAAATCCAGTAATACAACCCTTCGCTAACAGAGGAAATGTACAACCCGTTTCGACATTGCTGAAAAATAAGGAAAATAAAAAAAAGAGAGAAAAGAAAATTCTTGAGCTTCTCCTGCGGTGTACATGTCTGGTTCGGTAACCTCAAGTCTTTGAAGTCCTACAAAAGTTGTCAGTTCAGTAGTTCTCGTCAAAAGTATAAATTCTCCTCCTTCCTCCGGCCTCATCAGGGGGTTCCCCTAAGACTCTGCGTTCAAGAAGCCTACTCTTTCCAATGGCTGAAACCGAAAGTGTCCTACAGCATTTGACAAAACGCAGTCTCTCTTTTATATGTCATGACAAGGCAACGTCATTTACTTTCAGTGCATACTGGGCACCGGTCGAAAATGTGGAAGAATGGACCGATTTCACCTACCAGAACCTAGTAAACCTATACGCCTCCGATCTAAATTGCCAGATTTCTCCGTTTTACCCGGTTCCAGCTTGCGAAAAGGCGGGTGTCAACGAGATATATGATGAGGCTGGCCTACGCGATGCGATTCACACTACAACGATAGTGCCTGTGTCCTACGCTCTTCCCGGGAGCCTGTTTATCGCTTCTGGCGGACAGACCATGGAAGATGGGGAGATGATTCCTGACTACGGTGCGGGCGACCGGAAGAAGCGGAACAAGGCCAGTCGGTACAAAGGTCTTCTATTCGGCGACGTCAAATACGGCTGGAAGCACGAGAAGGCAATCGCGACGGTGCGGAACAATAGTGATGAGGGTTACGAACATGCTGAGGGCAGGGATGATGTCCGACCAATGGAACAGACACAGCACTACAGTATCCTACTGCAATCCCGGTATACATTCGTCATACATGAGAGAGGGCTGGTAGCCATGCGACTGCGTCTATCAAAAGACCCCGTGAGAACTGCACCAAGGCCGAAGCGTAACATTACAGCGCCGCGGTCACATCAGCGCGTTGTCTCTGGTTCAACGGTATCGGAGGTGACTTCGAGTATCAGCGAAATGTCTATCGACGAGGAGGTTAAGAAGAGAGGCGCTGATGTTGGTGTGATAGAGTACTCCGTGATTCCATGGAAGGGCCGGCCTAACGGTCAACTTGGCTTTGTATTGCCTTGTCCGCCTTGCGGACAAAGCGAATGACCTGAGACAGGAGTACGACTCCCTTCGACCTTCACCACTGACGTCTATCCAATCTCGTTCATCCCCAACTCCATCCGCCGCCAGAGTCCATAGTTCAGTGGACCCCAAGGGGAAAGGTAAGTTGACCGCCAGTGTGGAAGGTACCCAGTCTGCCAGCGGTCACCAACGTACGCCGCCAACTTTTCGACAAGTTGAGAAAATCCAACTTTCCCAAGATGGCAAATATTACTCCTATAAATTGGATGGAAAATGGGCTGCGCAACCTGCCAGCGAATGGAGAGAGCATGGTGCATTCCTATTTCACTACGGTCTCATGCTCCAAGCACGAAAACCACAGTAATGAATGGTCAATTCGAGGCTTAGCGTGGTATGTCCTTTGCTATTCAACATGGTGATCTCCTTTGCTATTCAACATGGTGATCTCCTTTGCTATTCAACATAGTGAGAGGGCTACTTTGTATTTAGGTTTCCCATTGATATTATCATATCATCATATTATTACATTACCATACACAGTAGTTTGTTTACTCCTCGCTTACATAATACTCAACAGTCATGGTACCAATCAGGATCTATTATTATCCTAATACAGTTAGTACTATAATGCTAAGAAGTTATGTTAGCAGGAAGTCAGTGCCTCTAAAGAAATCCTGGAATAATTGTAACCTGGGTAACTGAAGTATGGTGATTTTCTTTCCTGTGTTTATTCTCCACAAGGCACCCGAGTTTGAGATATGACGAGCTATGGTAGATTGTTATACCACCATGACTGTGATATGTAACTCCTAGATTAAGGAGTGCATCATCCAGACACATTTCTAGTCTAGCGGTATTGGATTTTAATAAACGACATTGTGCCAACAAATAGACGTCCACTTGAATGGAATCTGTGGTCATCTGCCAGATGCTATATCATTGGCCTCCTATATATGAACCTTCTCTCGCAGATTCCTCCTGTGTAGTGTGACGCAATGATCACATTAATCAATAGATTTGTAGCACAGTCTAACAGTAGAAACACATGATGGTTTACAAACAATCTCTTCACAAAGCATAGCCTTGGTATGGGATTCCTTCCTACCATGGCTGGTACTCATGTTCCGCCATCCTCAATCTGTCTGCCAAGTGATCACAAACAACAGAGTATATGTCATTGCGTGTTTTAGGTAAGGCAGAAACTGGAGAAGTTAGCATAACATTTCCACAGTAATCCCAGATACTCACCTATTATAAGTGTTTCACCTCGCGCTTCTTCATAGTTAGAGAGCCTTTCTATATACTGTCTTAACACCTTAGTCTAGATGATCTTGCGATAATTTGGTTCTTTATAGTATACATTGGCGCACTTATGATCACCAAGTAGTAATGTATTTTCCGTAGGAGAACCAGACTTCAGGAAGAGAGAAATAGTAAGGATCTATTTAGTTAGTGAACTTTCTGCCATGGGAGGAGAATATGCTCATGTAGCGCTTATGTAACTTATCATCCCTCAACAGACTATTGAGCATTGGCTCCCCGGTGATTGCAATGTCTGACAATGTCAGCTGTGTGATCCTCATTAGTAATCCCATTATTATACCTAGTGTTTGTACCTGCCACATAATAAACAAGCGACGAGCGCGTGCTGATGAGTTATTATAATTATCTATCAACATTCTAAAGTATGGTATCATGGTGGTAATACTAAAATCATTAGCAATTGCTAAGACGCTCTCATATTGGTTGACTAACTTGCTGATGCCATGAGGACTACTAATATGTGCTGGAAATGAAACAGGGCCCTCATCAGCTGCTTAGAGCAGGTCTGCTGAGAAGCCATAGTATGGGTGTATGAAAAGCTCTAAGGTATTCTGTTCTTTATGGGACCAAGAGGTAACCATATATGGATGACTCTGGGCCCACGACCAGAATGTCAAGGAAGGCAAGCTCAGATGGATATACTATCCAGCATCCAGCTTCATGGGACAGCACGCAACTTGATGAGCCTACCAGCGGACTGGATAGTCAATCGGCATTCAATATCATTCGTTTCCTGCGGAAACTTGCCGCCGCCGGACAGGCAATTCTGTGTACCATCCACCAGCCGAACTTTGCCCTGTTTAAGAACTTTGATCGCCTTCTTTTGCTGCAAAGGGGAGGGGAGTGCATATACTTTGGAGATATTAGAGAAGACTCCTGTGTCCTGTTAGATTACTTCCACTGCAACGGTGCCGACTGTCCACCCAACGCAAACCCGGCGGAATGGATGCTTGATGCTATCAGCGCAGGCCAGACTCGCTAAATTAGAGATCAAGACTAGGGAGAGATCTGGCGCACGTCTCCCGAGTTAGAGCAGGTCAAAAGAGAGATTATTTAGGTTAAGGCTCAGCGTGCAGAGGAGGTCTAACAGAGAAGTAGCTCACAGATGGTTATTAAAGAGTATGCCGCACCACTGTGGCACTAGATCAAGGTTGTCTGTAAGTGAACCAACATTATCTTCTAGCAATCAAGGAACTATGGCTTCACATGACTATTTAACCATATTATATAGCCCTAGTCACTGGTCTTGTATTCCTGAACCTAGATGACTCCCGCGCCTTCCTCTAATACTGAATCTTTGTTATCTTCAATGTGACTGTCCTCCTAGCCATCATCCTACAGCAGGTTGAACCCTGCTTTAAGTTCTTACAGCTCATCTTCTTCTGTGAATCCACCTGCAAATCATACAGCTAGTTTATATTTACCCTATCCATGGTCATTGCTGAGCTCCCCTATAGCATCCTCTATGCCATCTGCTTCTTCCTCCCCCTCTACTATATCCCAGGCTTCTAAGCCGCGTCTAGCTGAGCTGGCTACTAATTCCTCATAGTCCTCATCACAGAACTCTTCTCTGTAACCCTGGGCTAGATGATCTCTGCCCTAATGCCAAACAGCTTCATCGCCTCGCAGATCAACCCGCCCATCATCATCATCTTCTCACTCTTCTGCGGCGTCGCCATCACCAAGCCCCAGATGCCCGGCTTCTGGCGCGCCTGTCTCTACCAGCTCAACCCCTTCACCCGCCTCATCAGCGGCATGGTCACCACAGAGCTGCACAGCCGCACCGTCTCCTGCGCCCCAGGCGTATAATCGCTTCCAGGCCCCGCCAAACCAGACCTGCGGCGAGTACATGCGTCCGTTCTTCGAGCGTGGTGGGCTGGGATACCTGGCCGACAACGCCATGCACGCTTGTGAGTACTGTGCGTATAAGATCGGGGATGAGTTCTACAGTACCTTTTCAATGAGCTTTGATACCAGGTGGCAGGACCTGGGGATCTTCCTTGCCTTTATCGGGTCTAATCTCATCATTCTCTTCTTGGCGGTGAGTTCCATCATGTTTGTTGATTACAATATAAGCTGATTTATTATTTTCTTAGTCCCGCTTCCTCAACTACAATCGCAGATAGCGTTGTTGGATAGCGTTTACGAAAGAGAGAGACTGGGACGTGCATTTAATTAATAGCTAGATAACATCTAACGTCTCCAACATGTCCATACTTGATATTACCAAAGGTCGCATAGGTCGTTAGATTGCATCATGTTCTTAGATCCGGAATAGATCCTTCGTCGAGCTTAACTTGACTTAGTATATATAGCGAAAGCTGCGGGAAATACAAATTAGCAAGACCATAAATGGCTTTTCATAATCAGGGGTGAAAAACATACTTGAGATTCTCCCTATCCGTCAGATCCAAAAACGCAGTAGAATCCAGATCCCGTCCCTCAAGTCCACCCTGCATCTGCGACTGGATCCGATCCCGCTTCTTGTTCTCCCACCGGAGGAGAAGGCCAAGGACGGAGATGAGAACGACCTCGATCAGATGCGAGACGATCATGGACCAGATGCCGAGGGGATAGGTTGGTCTGCGACAAAGTCAGGGGGCAATTCGAGCAAAGATTTGATCGATGATGATGATGATGAGGATAAAATGGGAAGACAACGTACTTCTGGCTCGTCTTGTAGAAAAACGGACCCGCAATGTTTCCAGTGCAGTAGCCCAGAAAGAGGACTGCGTTCGTGACGACCTTCTTTGTATGTCCTGCATCATCCTATTAGACCATCACAGCTCTGAGGAAGATCAGCAGATAGAATGGGACAGTACCTGCAGTGTTCGCGATCTGCATGCTCAGAATCAAGACAAAGGCTGCGTTGTACGGACCCGTGAGGTAGTAGCAGATCAACCGGCCGACTTTCTGGTCTAGCGGGACAAAGCGCAGGCCAAAGGCGCCGGCGATATTGGGGAGCAGGAATAACAGGATGAAGACGCAGCGGCGGTTCTCGAAGCGGTCGTTGAGGTAGACGCAGAGAAGGATGGAGAGTGCGATGAGGACGCCGTAGGGAATCTATATTAGAACAGTATCATTAGAATTCGGTGGATGTGGGCTGAAATCGAGAACATCCATACCTGCATCAGGGTGGTGACCAGGGTTGAAAATCCAAAGCCCTTGATGATCAACGTGCCGAAGTTTGAGATACCGCCATTGGGGATGTTGCCTGTCAAATTAGATGCTGGCCTGTGTGACGAGAGGATAATACTCACAGACACAGCCTAGCATGAAGAAAATGTACAGTTTGTAGTCCTTGAATGCCTCTAGAACCTGGTACGGCTTGAGATGCTTGTTCTCAACCCCAGTCTGGTTCTCTCTCAACCGTTCAACGGCAACTCGTCGTTCCCTGGGGGTAAGACCCGGTGCAGAGACGGGCGAATCCGGAAGGAAGATGAACATGACTATGCCCCAGGCAGAGCAAAGTGCACCACTGCACCTCAGTTAGCAAGTTACCATGCTGCTAAATTATAGTGCCTTGGACTTACATTACGAGAAATTCGTACTTCCAAGATGGAAGCGCACCCTTGAGATGCCCAATCCCATAACCCAACAGGCCACCAAGTGCAATACCAAAACCATTCGCGGTATACCACAGACCAATTCGGACAGGCTGTTCTTTTCTTGTGTAGAACATGCTGGTAATCAACATAAAACCAGGGTCGGCACACGCTTCTGCAGCGCCTCCTAACGCTCGAAGAACAGCTAGGGTGGTGAAGCTATGGCATGCGGCCTGGATCATGAGAAAGACTCCCCTAATATGCATGAGTATAATGCTTCCGGGAAGAAAGGAGAGTGAGTGCCCGGTGTGTTTGCTGTACGTACCACATGAAGATATTGGCGCCCAGATACTTTCCTGTCACCCACGAAAAAGGTTACAACCCTATCCTCCGACATGTCTGTATGGAACACGTACCGATTGGCAGACGCTGCAGGAGAAAGTTGGTAGGGAAAGCCCAGGCCAGGAAACCAAAGTAGAATATACTGCTGAGCCAGTTATACTGCGTTCCATGGAGCTTGAGGTCATCCACGATTCCGAAGATAGCTGCATAGCTCAGTGTTGTCTGAATATCGAAATCGAACATCAGTCTAACCAAGTGGAGAATTACTTTCACACCAACTTACCTTATCAACGTAGAAAAATGCATAGCAGACGGCTAGGTACGGAAGGATCATCAAGTCGATTTTCCACAACACCCTTCTCGCCTCGGCTGGATCTACCTCTTCATGAAGCTCGTCTGGATCGTTAAACAGAGCCATGGCTGTGTCGCCATCTATTTGCTTCGCCGTCTTCCATCCTGGTTCAAACTGAGTATTTTCGCTGTGTGTAATGGTAGGCGTCTCTGCAGCATTGACTTTGGAGCCATGCTGTGGCTCGATAGATCTGTCACCCATATTGCCTTCTCGTTGCTTCTTCCTTGCAAGTCAGCGGTGATATCGATGAGCAGCTGAAAATATAGACGTCTCAGAGCCTATTTCTGGGCGGAGCTGGATCCAGATGGTATTTGAATGGCAGTAGCTTGATAGACCCCAAACGCCAAAGCGGAGAGCTCATTGCCCAGTTTCTCATATCATGCCATAGGAGGCGTTGGATAATGGTCCCAAGCGTAAATTCCATATAAGAAAGTATCAACACCGGAGCATCTCCACCTCACCCCAAACGAGCCAAAGTTTCTACCCTACCCCAGGTTGGAGCTCACAAGCTTCGGCCTTGCTTCCGTCACATTTTGCGGGGTTGAAAGCTACAAACCGGGTAGTACGACGTGGGGGTCGACATCGGCATATAGCGGTGTTGGCCATTGAGCGATTCAGAGACCTTCGGGGAGAATGCCAGCACCAGCACCAAGAACTCCTTGGTTGGCCGGTTCATTGGTCAATGTTGAGTTTCGCGGTGATGGGCAGGGTGACATTTCCAATGCGGAGTAATCGAGCAGTCGGGGTAAGACCGAGAATAAGGCGTGTCTTCCTCGTCTGGGAGATGATAGGTGGAAATCGTCGAACTTCGTAGCCGATGTGTCAGTCATGACTCTTTCATTCAGGCTCAGCCGATTTTGATACGTGCGTCAATATTAATACAGGTCGATGATTTTAGAATTGCCGAAAGTTGATGAAGGGACGAAGCTTATGGGACGTGGAGAAAAACGATCAGCAGCGGGAGGCGGGGGATGGCCTGAGGCCCCGGGGTACCACCGGCGTGGGGGTCATAGAATGGAAGATTGTGATATGGAGACATAGATAGCAGAAGAGGGAAAAGATGCGCTCCGTACTTTATGCAGACTGGCCAAAATGCTTCTATGCCCCAGCTGGCAGCATTTCAGGTTCATATGTACAAAATATATTATAGGAAAATCAATCGATCATAGGAGAGACTGAGAGGAGAGGTGTATGGTTGGTATCAGAAACAATATGAAATGAAAGACAAGCAATGGGATAACTCGCCGGTAAAGCTAATACAAGATTCGGTTCTATCCAGCATTCTCCTCCCGGATATTATGCTGGCCAACAATGGCGAGGAAGACTTGGTCCAATGTAGTTTGGCTGACAGAGTAATACTGGACGCCTAGAACAGCCTTGCTCTGCTCCAGCTTCGAGAATATGGTACTGACGATGCCGTTGTTGGCAGCACTTGGGCCCCCTTGAACCATAGGCCATGATTGACTTCTGAGTTCGCGTCCGAGCTCTTCTTCATCGGCGACAGGACTCTCTGCATATTCAGTGATATCTGCCTTCGAAGATGAAGACGCCGCTGTTGCAGGGATACTGAACCGTACCTGCCCATGATAGGTCTTCTGCTCTATCACGGCACCAGGGAAGTTCTCTTGCACCCAATCGCGGATGCGTCCCATAGATTCGTCCGTAGTGTGCGGTGCCTGTGAATGGACTAGATGGACATGATATTTGTTGCCCTACTTCTTCCGCAGGTAATCAGTTGTCCCCAGCGCCAGCATACGCTTGGCCATAATTCCTGCCCGCGTTGCCAGTGCATCTGCCTCCTCCATGGAGTGGGTCGTCAGCACAATGGAGCGTCCAGGGACTACAGACGCCAATGTCTTCCACATGACACGTTTTGAGGCTGCATCCATGCCGGAGCTAGGCTCATCCAGTAGGAGGACTAGAGGGTTGCCCATCAAAGCAATACCGAGAGAAAGCTTGCGCTTATTACCTCCTGACAGTTTTGTTGCCATGCGGTGCTGGAAGGTAGTAAGCCCCACAGCACGCATTACTTCCATGACGTTGTGCTTCACATCGGCCACACCACAGATGCGAGCATAGAACTCCAGGTGCTCAATGACGGTCATTTGATCCATTGCATCAAACTGCGGACAGACCCCAAGGTGGGAGCCTGCTGCTGCACGATTCTTCAGAACCGAGATATGGTTCACAAAAATATTTCCTCCATTGTCGGAAGGTACCATATCACCGCGGATGAGAGAGATTGTGGTGGTTTTTCCTGCTCCATTTGGCCCCAAGAGAGCAAAAACTTGAGATTTCGGCACCCCGAATGTCACGTCATCCACGGCGACGGACTTCTTGAACCTCTTCGTGAGGTGCAGAACTCGTAGTCCGTCGGTTGAGTTTTCCACTCGTGCTAATTCAGCGGCAACATCTCCATCGACAGTATTCTTCTCTTCCACGTGGTTTTGCTTGACTTTTCTCCTCGTCACGGAAAACACAGGCCCTCCATCAATCCAAAGAAGCAATCCAAATAGGACAAAGGATTGACAGATCAGATAGAGGATTGGGCCTCCGTAGAGAGTGACCTCACCCGGGTACGAGGCGATTTCTCGTCCTCGACATAGGATGGAGAACGTATTCAGCGAAGTGAACATTGCTCGAAGAAGATTCGCCGATGGTGCAATGAGACCAATGGTAAAATGCGTTATCTCAAGGTACTCATCGACTTTCTGGGTAGGTGCGTATGTCAATACTGACATGTAGGCGATGAAGTAAATCAAGAACAAGACGCACTGCCCACCGGCTGCAATTGCGAAAGCTGCAAGCTGAGACTTCGAGAAGAGAGATACCACATATGATAGTATCGTTGTGCACAACCCATAGAGGAAGAAAACGACGAAGAGATATTCGGCATAGTACCATACATCCGACACGGCCCTGAAGATGACTATTGCAAGGACGCTAGATGCGACGACAATGCAAAAGTCAAATGCCAGGTATGCTAGCCAAAGCGAGACGCCTCTCACCCCGTTACTGAAGTGCAGCGCTCGGACATTCTTCAAACGCTCAACGGTGGGGTAGAGAGCAAACAAAGAAGGGTGTACCGACATAGCAAGACCAAAGTAGACGATCAGCTGGAGTGCTTTCCCAGAATCTGACTGCCATGGAATGTCGAAAAACTGGAAGCGGAAAGAGATGGGCACGTTGGTCAAGAAGTTATCCATCACATTCTGAGTGACAGCGGATGGCGGGAAGTGACCGTTGTCTCCCTTCCACGCGAATGTAGGCGCAGAATATGTGTCTCCCAGGTAGAAACCGCCAGGTGTTATGTTAGCATAGTTTTGAGATATATAATCTTCGAATTCCGTGAGACTGTCTACCAGGTGAAATCGAGACTCGAGATTCAAAGACGCACTCTGAGCCGGCTCTATCGAACCAGATAGGGAGCCAATGAAGCTCTCAAGAGCGGTAGTGGACACCTTGTCTCGAGGACCAACCACAAATTTGAAGTTGTCTACAGATGCCAGTGTCTCGAAGCCAGATGCATGATATGTGCTATCACCCGAACAACGTGCCTTTGTAGTATCCTTCAGGAAAAGAGTAACAAGTCCGGCCGCAACGACTGGGATGAGCAAAGCCACCAAGTATGGGATAGGGTTGCGGCGCAATATTGTGACCCTTTTGCGAAACAAATACCACGACTGAAGGAACATGCCAATGCGTTTTCCGGTCAAGAGCTGAAGTCCTTCACTGCCACCTCTTCCAGGATTCTTTTCAGTGTAAGTTGTTTCCTTCGGTGCGACGTGAGGCTCTTCTCGTAGTCTCTCCGAGTCCAACTCTTCTGCAACTTTGAGAAAGACATCCTCTATCGTCGGCCCGCTGACGCGATATTCCGTGACACCTTCTTCTTCTAATATTGACATCAGACGAGAAGCTTCTGCGGAATCCTTAGCATAGTAGACGGTATCGTCAAAATGGACCTCTTTTGCGATATTGTCGAACTGTGGACCAGATACCTTCTCTGAGCCAGGGACGTTGAGCACATGAATTCGATAACCTGAACCCAGTCTGTCCTTTAGCTCAACGCTCGAGCCCTGCGGCTTGAGCGAACCCTTGGATAAGATTGTGATGTGATCGGCGAGAAGGTTTGCCTCATCCAGAAAATGAGTCGTCAAAAGGATTGTCCGCGATCCTCTTTCTGCAAGAAGGATGTCCCATATTTTGGCGCGTGCAATTGGATCAATTCCAGATGAAACCTCATCAACAGCGCAAATTGACGAGCCGCCGGTAAGCATCATGGCCAATTGAACTTTCCGTTTCTGACCCCCCGAGAGTGTCTTCGAGCGCGAATTCACCTTCTGAGCCAGGTCACAGTCGTTTAGCAATTTCAGAAGCTGCTCATTACTGTCCACCTCTCCGGTGCTCTTCAGCCTGTTAAATATCTTGATATGCTCTTTGACAGTAAGCGTATCCCAGAGAACGTTCTTCTGTGGGCAGAGACCAAACCGTCCGCCGGAGTCGCCGTAGTCTACATTGATACTTCCGGAGGTGATTGTCGTCAGACCCGAGATGGCATCTAGTGTCGTAGATTTGCCGGAGCCGTTTGCACCGAGGAGGACCACAATTTCTCCTTTCCTAACGTCCATGGACAGGTCGTTCACGGCCAGCACACTCTGTCGGCTGCTTCCAAACCACGGAGCTACCTTTCGGTAGAACCAACTTGGCTGATATTCCTTGGTAAATCCATTTAAAAGCACAACGGTCGAGCCGTCGGAGTTCACTGTCCTTCGACTCTTGGACTTGGTGCCATAAAGAACTCGCTCGATTACGGCGGCCAGCAGGGGATAGACGATGATTTGGACAATCAGTAAAATCCAGAGGGCTATACCAGGAACTGTCCACGGGTTCTTTGGAGCTGCGCGCACTAGGCCCGTAGCGAGACCCTGCCTCTCCCATCGAGCCATGAGAACAAAGAAGTAAACAAAGTTCATCGGTGGGAATAGAAGACTGAGAACGATAACAGCACCGTTTGTCGAAGCAGGTGCCAGCTGCGCGATTACTCCCAAAACCAAACAAACGATAACGACGGTGATACCGCTGAGCTGAGCCTTCCTGAAAAACGAGGCGCCGAATACGGAGAAGGAGGACAATGCGAGACCGGCCAGCACATTGTAGATTATCACGATTCCAGCCGAGGTCTTGCCGTACACCCCAAATTTCAGGATTGCACCGGAGATAATCCATGCTGGGCAGTACACGATATCTAAAGCCAAGTGTGCCGCAATGAACCGAGCAGCTTGCGATTGCCAGTGGGAGGTGTTGGGCATCATGCAATCAATCAGCTGGCTCATGCCGAGCTCTCGTTCCATCGCTATAAGCCCCGTAAGCTGGTACGTGACGCCCACTATTTCAATGAAGATAGCCACAGCGATGATGTCAATAATGGCGCCCATGTAGCGGGTTCGGATTTGTTCCTGTCGTTCTTTTTGAGTAAGGGACGTGAAAGGCTATTCCTCAACCTATACCAGGATTAGTTGAGCAGGCCACAAGCACTATGTTCATTAAGCGTAAGTGACTTGGTAGCGCGTTACCGTTGTTGGTCGAGTTGACCTGCGCTATCGCCCAGTCAATCGAATGCTGGAACGGAAGGTAGTAGATCTCCTGATCATTGTCGTTTCGGTTGACTTTGATCCCAACACCTAGCGAACCATCCGTACGAATTGAGTAATTCCAGTATCCGTTTGGTCCTTCAGTGGGAGAAGAGTAAAAGATAGCCGCAGCTATGCATGATGACACTCCACGAAGAGACGTTCGACACAACTCCCGTAGCTCATCCTCCGACGAAAGAATATGCACTTGTTTTGCGCTGGCCCTTGCGGGATCCGCAACTTGGTTGATGACTTGCTCAACATCGCCGCCAGTCAGGCCATTGTGGACGAATACCACCTTGTCTCTATTCCCTGAGACGCCACCTAGCGCAGCTCCTAGCGAACGGAGGGGAGTGGGACTGCCGACGCCATACTCTGATGGAGGGATGAAAAGGTGCTTTGCGAAGGATCTACTTCGATTAGTGACGGCCTTTAATCTTAACAACGGGCAACACAGGTAATATACATGAAAGCAACGAAAATCACTGGCAAGACCAGAGCCCTGAGGGTGGTTGTGACTGATGGACGCACAAGGACGATGAGTAGATTCTTGACTGTCAGCGTCCAAATCTGCCTGAGGAAGAGATTCAACATGGTCGCCCGCGGTTCGATAAACAGCGATATCAATCGACCCCGGAGCTCATCCTCGATCTCATAAGGAGCAAGAGTGAGCGCTAAGTCCGAAATTGATGAGCCTCGAAGTCATCGCGATTATTATTGAAACGTCTTGCGATTAGCGCAAGACGACCAGGCTGATGGTGTCTAAGCGACCTCGATGCAAGAAGCTGGGACCGGTGTTTCTTGGATCTCCTGGTATGGCAATCTATGCGTACAACACTGCCCACTGGCTAGCCACCTGCGATCGATTCACGGAACAGCTGTCATTGGACTGGACGCCAATGTACCATATCGGATCGTGCCGACCAAGACAGATGTGGTTGGCGCCCAGAAACCGTCTGAGGGGAATTTCCCCGTTACAACATTCAGCCACCTTGTAAGCGAAGCCACGTCTCCCAGAATTT